AATTTACCTTTGCATGGTCAACACCTAGTGTTAGATGTTGCACATAGTAGGAACTCAAAAAAGCAGAGTGAATCTCACCCTCCCCTAATTTCACAAGTCTAGGACAGGGATTGTCAAACTATGGCCCAGTTGCCTGATGCTTTGGATTTTGTATTAGTGGCTTCTATTGGAAGATAGTCACACTCATTCATGCACACATTGTCTATGATTGTTTACAACCTTCAAATAGAATGCCAAAATTTTTATTCTTTAGTCCCTTCTAGATAATGCTTGCAGACTTTCATCTTATGTGTCTATCTTTTCAATGAGAGTGAGTACTTTAAGTGTTTTGCTTTGATGTAGAGAAGTTTGATGTAGAGAAGTTTGTATATTATCATATGTCTTTGTTTCATTTATTTTTGTCTTAGCTTTTATTCATCCTATTTTTATGATATAGGATGTTTTCTGTCCCTCCTACTAAGCATTTCTACACGAGTGAATATGTTTCTTTCTTCGTTTGTTTGTACTGCTCCTAAATTCCTAGACAGGAGACTGGCACACAGTAGGCACTTTATTAGTATTTGTTATATGCATTAGCATTGGTTTCATTGTAAAATTTGATTAGACAAACCATTCCCCTTATGGGGTATTTTAGAGAGAGTGTGTTTTATACTTCTATGAGGTGAGTATTATCTTATTTCTCTTTTATTTGTTATGGAGGGGACAACTGGGCTTCTGGTTTAATCATTGCTTCTTAAAGTGTAATGTGAACACTATCTAAAAAAGGACATTGTCATAGTTCAGGTTCTAATTCAGGATATTAGTCTGGTGTCCTAGATGCTGCATTTGCTACAAGCCACTCCTATTGATGAGGTTGCTGGTCTGTGCCCTGAGTAACAAGTATTCAAGGCTTCCACTCAGGATCTACCTTAATACTTAGATCTGAGAAGCATGGATAGTATCACTGTATGTCTTTTGTTTTTTTCTGATATTTTCTTAACTTTTGATTTATTAGTAGTATGTGAGAGAGTGCAGATGTGTGCATACTGTACCATGCATATAGAGGTCAGAGGACAACTTCAGGAGTGGATTCTCTCCTCTCACTGTGGATTCTGGGGAATAATCTTGGGTTCTTGTGAGTGAACAATTTTTATTAGTGAGTCATCTTGCCGACCCATTTTTTTCTGTTCTTTTTTTTCCATGCCCATGCATGTTTTCAGTTCAATGGTCGAGACCCATCTTTCTTTCTTTCTTCTAGGTCAATCATTGTCTCCAAACAATTTGCCTCCAAACCTCAATTTCCATGGCTCCCTAACCTCCAGAATCTTCAGCCTCTTCCATGCCCTCCATTTACCCCATAACTCTCAGAAGTGACTCCTGGTGTTGGAAGGACCAGGCTTTCCCCTCACTTTCTACCTCCGTCTTCTGTAGCATCTTCTGTAGGTAATCATTTCTACTTGTCCCTTCTATCATCTATCTGCTTTGACATCCTGCACCTCCCCTTCAAGTCTCTGCCTATAGATTAAACATGATCAGTTTGGGAACCTCAGCCCTTCACTCTCTATTTTCCTACTATTATTTCTTTAGTCTTAATTGTCCTACCCCATATTCTCCTCCACCATCCTCAGATGTGGTTCCAAACACCACTATCCTGTCTAAATACTATGCTCTACTCCTAAGTTTATCTGGGACATTTCTTTTTTATTTTTAAATTTAAATTTAAATTAGAAACAAGGTTGTTTCACATGTCAATTCCAGGTCCCTCTCTCTTTCCCTCCCCTCCTCCCATGCTCTCCCACCAACTCCTCTGATATCCCCTCATTTCCCCCAGGGAGGGTGAGGCCCTCCATGGGGGTGTCCATAGTCTATCATTTCATCCAGAGCAGGGGCTAGACCTTCCCCGAGAGTCCAGGGTGAGAGTGCATCTCTTATTGTTGGATGGGCACCCAAAGTCCATTTGTATACCCGGGATAAATACTGATCTACTACCCAAGGCCCAGTAGATTACCTTCACCTTCTCACTGATACCCACATCCAAGGGGTCTGGATCAGTCCCATGCTGGATTCCCAGGAATCAGCCTGGGATTCAAGAGCTAACCCTTGTCAGGTCAGCTGTTTCTGGGGGTTAAACCAGCCCAGTCTTAACCCCTTTGCTCATCACTCCTCCCTCTCATGTCACTGGATTCCTTGAATTCAGCTCAATGTTTAGCTGTGGGAGTCTGCCTCTGCTTCTATCAGCCATGTCTGGGACATTTTTACTAAGGAATTTTACCAGATTCCTCAGACTAAACATATCTATAGTCATAGTTATTTCCTTTGTTCCCAACCATTTCTCCTTTCCCCAGATGTTTCTCTTTCCAGTACAATCCTGTCTCCCTCACATTCATTGTTGAGTGACTTTAGAATGACTTGCCTGTCAAACTACACTTTGATGAGGGCTAAGTACCAGTAATGTATGTGCAAGGTGCCTGACAAGTGCTAGTAGTTTCTCCTACTCGGGATGATTACGTGTGCTTTGTCTGTTCAGGCTCTTTGGTACTTAAGTGGTTTATCTCTGGTCAAGTATTTTCTGGAGGCTGAATATGGAAAGACAATGCTCTAGAGAAAAATTGAACTACCTACAATATCTCTCAAGAAGCCAAAATATTTCAGAATCTTCTCTCCAATGATATACAATATAGGACATATATGGTGCTTTGGGACTGATGAGTATAAATTTATGAATATTCTCACAGAAACATCATATCCCATGCACATGCATATGCTTTCCAGAACTAGCATGAGTTTCCTGTCCTAGGTCTTGTGAGTTTCGTGTTCCAGGGACTATTACCCAGAGATTCATGTCCACACCTGTTGAAAGGCTGTCGTTTGTCATTACAATTGAGCTATAAGTATCTGAACACCTACCTGTCTCCAATACTTCTACCTGCTCTTCTTTGATTTTGTCACAGTTTCTGGCACAGTGCAGAGCATAGAGTTTGTGTCTAGACACACTATACAGACTGGCTAACCTACAGACTGAGCAAGATACACAGAATTTGTGCTAGTTCCTGTGTGTCCACACCCACTGTGGAATAGGGATTCCATAAGAACCCTGGTAAGATTAGTGTAACTCCCAGGGGCCATCATTATTTTCACAAACCCCTCCACTTTATGAAAGGGAATAGGAAGAAAACTACAATTTCATGAGCAGAAACACTCCACCAACTCATCTTGTTCTCTCTGCAAGGTTACTTTATGAATTATGTACAGTTTCCATTTAGTATTCAGAAAAATGAGACTCAGAATCTAGAAACATTCTCAAGGCCATAAAACAATTGATGTAAGACTTGAACACAGTACCACATGAATCCTAAAGCTCCTTTTTGTTCCATCATAGCAGCTGCATTGTGTTATATGTCCACATGTTTGTAAGTGCATTCAGACCAAAAAAATGTTCATTTCGCCAGCATTGGGTAAATCTAACCCTAAATTCACTGGCAGGCATACCCACCCACATTAATGAGCTCATACTTACTTAGTGTCCCTATACTATGTACCTATACATAACTTTCTTCTAGTATTTCATTATTTGTCCATGCTGATTTCTCAGATAGACAAGAACACCACAAAGATGAGGCTTAAGGTCCTTTGTATTTCTCCATCTACTTTAACTGGAATACAGTGTGCATAATCATTGTGTGTTTGCTGAATGAATAAGTGAGGTGGATGTTCTAGTACCTTCAGTAGTAGTGGTGGAAAACATTGGTCACTACATGAATGATGGTGGTGGTATTATCTTCTGTGCCCACAGCTTGGCACTACTGTGCTGAATGGGTGGGGAAGCCACTTTCTGGTTCTAGCTCACTCTATGGAGGTTTCATCAGAAGGCAATTGAGATGCAGGACTTTCTCACAAGGCTGTGTCTGCCAAGGGTAAGGGGAGTCCTAGAATGGACAGCAATGTTGTTTGCTAAGATCCTGGCATTCTAGCACAAAGAGGGATGCTCTCTCAGCCTGGACTCTTAGGGGAGTGCCTGGATCCTACCCTGAGTGAAATGACAGACTCTAGATATCCCCTATGTAGAAGGAATTGGCAATAGGGTGGGAGGCTGGGGGGCAAGGGGGGTGCTGGAGGAGGGGAGGGAGAGGGAACTGGGATTGACATGTAAAAATGTAAAACAAGTTATTTAAAATTAAAATAAAAAATTTAACAAAAAGATCCTGGCATTCTGAGCTCTACTCCTATTCTTACGCAGTTTGAGTATGTGATGAGTTCTCCTAATTCTCTCTGAACCTCATTTTCCAAACCAGAGATGCATACTGGGAATATGGAAGTATGTCAGTAATTTTTCCAACTTTTCATCATCAAGGATCTATTATATAAAATTCCTCTCCTTTGTCTGTATGTTTTGAAAAGCTCTGATTTAGTAGCAAAATCGCCTTTATTTAGTAAGGGTAAAAAGTCAGCAGTCACCATTAACTGCGAGCAAAATGTACTGATGAAGTGATATAACTAATGTTAAATGCCAAACAGGGAATTTCAGCTTAAAGCCAAGACCTACGATGTTTCTGTCATCCTTGAGACTGCATTTGGATAAAGTCAGGGCTCCCTGGAGTCTCCCTAGTATAGCAGAAAGAGTCAACAGACTCTTTTCTATCCCTTGGGACCTCAAGACTACTACTTCTCAGAAGAGGCACAAAGGTACTCAGAAGTTCCTGGGATCTATGACTCTGTCTTACCTTCCCCTCTTTCTGGAACTGAGGTGCTGCTCATTAGAAATTGACACTCACAAAGGAGAACTAGCCCCTCACACCTCCAAAGGTACAAGGACAAAATCAGGATGACAGGAACAGAATAGACACGAACAATGACAGTGCAATTTCAAACGGAAAAGCATCCATACAAATCCAGACTACAGATGACTAGACAGAAGTAGATATGAGAGGCCAACGGACAATCAATCAGTTGGTGCAGGAGGAAATGCATGCTACAGCCTCCCTTACAGAGCACAAAGCAGTTAACACCGGCTCGATACTTACAAGTAATAGGAGTAGGAATAAGCATTTCTTCTATATATTGATGGGCAGTCAGATGAAGGAAATGTCCAAAAGGGGGGAGGGGAAAGAAAAGACAAACAAAGAAGAATTAGGTTTATATGAAATCATGATTCTTAGAAATGCACATCATTTTAGTAACCCTAAACTCAAGGAAAAGCATTTTCTTACACATCAGCTGCTATTAGTTGTGGAAGAAGAGAGAGACCTCACCTCTGACACTGGTGAGGTCCTTGCCTTATGCAGAGGAAGCAAAGTTTCTTGCGGGCTGTTTAAAAGTTCTTCTTTATGGACAGATAAAACAAACTTCCTTATAATTATGGACTTTTGATGATTTTGGGTAGCTTTCTGTACCACCCTAGAAATATACTACCAAACTTTCACATTCCAGTGTTCCTAAGATCCGAGCAATAACAGACACAGTAGCACCTTTCATCTTAACTATTTCACAAAAGATCGCATCTATTCTGTAAGAAGTCATGCCCCAAACAGGGAAACAACTGAGAAGAAGCATCCTTGCTAGCTCCCCAGCCATCCACATTTCCAGGCTCATGTGTATTATCTGACACCCAGTAATGAGTCATAGATGACCCTGGATGACAAGTAGAATGTAGTAAGATTGTATTCTGGGATTTCTAAGGTAGGTTTTAGAAAGAAAGATGCTCTGAAGTCCCTTTTTGCTGTACCTCTCTGTTGGATGCCTGAGTGTCCATGTAAGTAATTCAACTTCCCCAGAGCTGCCACACCGGAGAGATCACATGGAGAAGTTCTGGGATTACACAAAGGGAAAGAAATTTCCAGGCACTTTCCAGTCCTTCCAGCCCACACTAGAGTTCACACAAATTATCTCTGCTGAGACTACACGCATCACAGAACAGAAATATGTTTCCTTTATTCCCTACCCAAAGTGAAGACCTAGACAGAATAAAAAATAGTAATTCTTTGCATTATTAGGGTTTGGGGGTTGTTTGTCACATAGTAGGACTGGGACAAACTTTAACATCATCATGAAATAATGTGGTACTGAGAAGGAAGAATTATAACCCTCAGCCTCAACAGATCCCAACTTGAATGAACTCTGCCTTAAGGTTCTCATCTACTGCTAATGAATCCCTCATTGTATTTGAGGATGCCAGGAGTTCTTCAGAGCGTTCACAGGGAGGGAAGATATCATGAAAGTGGGTCTGCTGGCTCTCTAATATTCACCAAAGCCAGGGTACCTAAATTTGTATCAATTTTATGTCATATAACATTTTATATGGGCAAGAATTCGAGCTTTCAAAAGGAAGCTTGAAAAATCACTCCCTTTAGGCTTTTTCTAATGTCTCTACTAGCTCTTGTCTTCTAAGCAATCACAAACCTTTATGCATGTCCATTATATTTCCCTTGTTGTAACTTATCTTGTGTTGTAAGAAAATAAATAGGGATGCTTTCATTTCACATTGGTTTTATCTACACTGACAGTAAGAGATGCACTTGAGGATTGGGAATGATTGCTAGGAAGTTCAGGTTCCCAAATATCCTCCAGAGTTAGCAAGAATAGTTCCCTTCCTTCTTGAATAATTTGAATAGTTGTAATTATTATCCCAGTTGCTTGTCACAGGAAGACCCAGTCTTAGAACAACAGGGGTGTGAATGTATATTCAGATCACAGAGGTGTCAACACATATTCAGAGCTCAGGATTTCCACCTTTCAAGTCAGAAGTAGCTAAAGACCTCAAGGCAGGGTTATCAAGCCCAACCCAATAACCCTTAAAGTCCAGAAGAAAAGTGAGTACTAAGAAAACATAAAGAAAACACTTTTTCTCGGTAGGCTGAGCTGGAGGAAATGAACTGAGTATAGCCTGACCCAGTGACCTCCTCCCCCAACCCCAATTGCTCAGGGAGAATTAAAGGGGAAGACACAGATCTGTGATGGACAGAAATTGGATAAATTTATGTGAGTCATCAAATTCCCATTCACCAGTTGCACAAGTTGCTACCGATAATTCTTCTGCTTCACCTATGATGGGTGCAGTGCCAGAAAATGCTATTATTTAAAGGCAAAAAGCTCAGGGTCTAAACATCTCTTGCCATGGCTTGAATGTCTCCCTGGAAGCTGATGGCACAACTTGGGCCCCAGTTCATATGCTGATGCTATCAGAGGTCGTCTGGATGTGATTGAGACCAGAGAAGAACATCAGGGTCAGGGCAGGATGGGGCATAATGAAACTGGTGGCTTTAAAAGGAGAGGGAGACATACTCAGTCTGCTCATTGACTGATGCTCTCCCACCATGTGATACTGCAGCAAGAAGGCCCTTCTCAGAAGTTGAGCAGATGTTGGCAGCGTGCAGTTGGATTTATCCAGAACTATGACAAGCAAGTGTGTTTTCTTTATAAGTTCCCCTGACTCGGGCACTTTGTTAAAGCAATAGAACTAGATTAACCCTTTTACATATTTTTGGCAACATGAGAAGAAAGAGGCTAGTGTTCTAATTTCAGCTCTTTCACTGTGATGTTTTAGATAAGCTGGCTCGTTCCACCCCAACCTGCTTCTTGATTCCTATTACTAAGTTGTTGCCACACATGACAGACACTTCAAATAGCTTTTGGGTCACAGAAAAACAAGAAGGTTGAGCATGCCAGTACCATCATTTACAGCTGCATGGTCTGGAACAAGTAATTAAATAGCTCCTTGTTCCAATTTCTCTATCTGAAACATTGGAAGCAATGACTACCTATTCCTAAGAGCAACCATGACTGTATGGTAATTTGCATTAGATGACTTTATTTAGATTATATCCAAATAAGTTATGACATTATATATAAATATTTTTCAAAAAAGTACATTAATCTAAGTTGGAAGAAGATGGGATACATGGGATAGGGGTGAAGTAGGTTAATTTTATTGAGGAGAAAACACATGAGAAACTGATAACCCAGGCAGTGTTCTGAGCATCCAATCTCAGCTGCTCTCCGAGATCCAACCAGAACCCCGATGGAGCTTGCTTGCCTCTCCTCAGGCCTATATCCCACATGCCCCGTATGCACCTGTGGCCACACCCAAAAGGGTGTGGTGAGTGCCACGGGTGCCTAGTAAGATCTCTCCCTACAAATCTAAATTAATATTAATTAATACTAATCTGTAATTTGGAATATGCTAGGGATAGATGAAATGTGGTTTATCTCCCACCTCGTCGACATCGCCAGGACAATGCATATACTTTGTAGGACAATGAAAATTGTTATCAATAATAATAAAATGAATAGCCGGGCAGTGGTGGTGCACGCCTTTAATCCTAGTACTCGGGAGGCAGAGGCAGGCGGATCTCTGTGAGTTCGAGGCAGGGCTGGACCGATAGCCTCCAAAACAGTACAGAGAAACCCTGTCTTGTAAAAACCAAAATAATAATAATAATAATAATAATAATAATAATAATAATAATAGTAAAATGAATAGAATATATAGATAGCACTTCCTAGGTACCAGCACTTTTCTATGTCCTTATCACAGATTAGCTGATATATTCCCTTACAACTGTCCAAAGAGGTAAATACTACCATCTTCACTTCATAGAAGAGTAAACTGAGGCAAATGGGGTGAAGATGACAGAACCAGCACTCAGATTTGATGGCATCATTTCTCCAAAGGTCAAGTTCTTAACCACCATGTAGTCTACATGGCTTGAGGACATAAAACAGGAAGCCAAAAGTGGACCAGACCTGATGATGCCCCTGCCTCAGCTCTTTGAGTCTTCTATATGAGAGTATACATTGTAACCATTACTTTCAATTTAGGAATGCAAGGCTCTAAGAGGGCGCTCTTCACTTGGCCAAAGATTTTGTGTACCTATGGAGAAGTAGGAACATGTCTGTCCTGACCTGGGCTTCTCTACTGGCAGCTACATCCTCTTGGGCAGCAGGCTTGGCTCAGTATTCTGATCCACTGAATTTTCTGATCTCAACTTTCAAGGCTGACCTCTTCTGGGCTCCCCCTCCTAACAACGTGTTTCCTGCTTCCCATGTAAACAAACACTGCCTGTTTTTTTGAGTTATCTTGGAGGTCGCCAAAACCAGTGCTGTCTCTGAGCTATTGTCAATGAAACTCCTAGAATGGCAGTGGTCTAATGAGGGGCAGTCTTTTCTCAACCAAGCTGCAAAGTCACTGATATTTGCTCTGTAACCACAACACAGATTACATGCATGTATTCTCTAAACCTTGAAGAAGATTTACTGAAGGTCTGAATTTACAAGGATACAGTGATATTGCAGATAACAGATTGCCTGAAAACCAAAAATCCTGAACACAAAGACAGCTGTGCTTAGGAAGGGAAAGAAACAGTATCCCAAACTTAATAAATCACATACTGCAGAATCGCCTTTTAGCTGGCTGACAACACTGACTTCAGGTAGAGATTCTCTTTGCTCTATATCATTTTAACAGTGCTAACTTGTCTATCTAACCACACATTTGGTCATTTACCCATATATCTAGGCCATAAACTCATCCATCCATCCATTCATCCATCCATCTACCCATCCATCCATCCACCCATCCATCCTTCTTCTATCCATCCACCTAATAATTCATTCCTCTATCTATATACCAAGGGATTAACCCACCTATTCATCTATTCATCCACTGACTTAGCCTTCCATCCATCCAACAGCACATTCATCATCTACTCAAACATCATTTAATTATTAATTTAAAAAATTTCCTGAGAGTCTACTAATACATCTGTCTATGCCAAGTACTATGAATAGACAAATGAGATTCTAATCCAGCCCACCTGGTCTAAAATTAAAGCCAGGCAAGAAAATTATAGAGGAGGCAATAATTATAGCTACCACTTAAATAGAAGGTAATCACTTGTGCACTAGATAGTAGTGTAAGACCATTGCAGAAGAGGGGGCAGAGGGATTGGAATATTGTAAGATGAGAGTAGATGGCTAGAAGGAAACAGCAGGCACAACAGATGACACAGTAAGCACAAGACCTGTGAAAGCTCAATCCAGTCTTAAACCAGGCATG